GATGACGTGGAGACGAGGCATGAAGAAATGCACAGAACCATTAGGTAGAATAGGTGTCACGAGCCTTCCAGCTTGTGGTCCGAAAGATTCCACAACTGGTTGGTTGACGACATTGAAGGATAGGGCAGCGAAGCGACAACAGTGGCGTTTTTCTTGTCATTTCTGATCAGGCCAGAATGCTTGAAACGGTATATATGCAGAGTTCGATTGCGTAATCTGTGTTGACCATAGAGGTTCACCTTTTCTCCTTCTCTCTCTCTCTCCCTCAAAATACGTCCAATCCCTGTCTACCTTGACTTTTACCACTAACCTTGTGTACATTGTGAGTTTGGCAACGATCAGTGAAGTCCGCTTCACTGTACGATGATGAAGGTAATTCGGACGGATAGATTAAACTAGAATACATTCTTCAGGCAATTATCAGTTAAAATGATTGCGATAACTGTAGTAATCTACAACCGGTGAAACACCGCATTACGATTGTGTGGGTCAAGCAGAACACTTTCAACCGTTCAAAGAAAAAACTAAAAAACTGATCAACTGGAAGTAATCCTGCACGTACGCGGAAGTGACGCGCGAATGTGTCCCGATTATCAAACACTTGAATACACTCGGAACATTTGTACCCGCACGAAAAGTCCACACCGTGCACCAAACATAACGGCATTGGATTGTCCCCAGAACGGAGCCCGGTGAATGCGTCAGCGTTATTGCTGCCGTCACTGGTAACAACTGCGTTTCCGATGGATGCACGTTTATCTGCAGCTGTACATGACTTCACGGTGGACGGACCGATACCGGATGTATCGGAAGCAGTCACTTCACCGTCGACTGCAGAATAGCCCGTAAGTGCCTCTGTGCTGTCACTTGGACGGATCATCATTACTGTAGAGTTGATGGTGTCACTGCTCTTGTTGTTGTTGATGCCAGTGATTGTCGTAGTAGTAGTTGTGGTCGTCACTGATGCTGAAGTGGTCGACGGGGCCATCGAAGTTGATGGGGTCAGAACATGACGATGGGCGTTACGAATGTGAAACAAAAGTTCACGGGAGCTGGCAAACGAAAAAATTGGCTTCTTCTGCAGTGTTGCGGATGTTTCCGGAGCTAAATGAAAACAGGATGAAAAGGATCAATGGATCAAATGTAGCTGCAGAGTAGAGCAGGTATCTTCAATCAGCAGAAAATCTATTAAATGGCCCACTGAATTTCTGTTGACCTTTTTATTCTTGTATTTTTTACATAATTTTATCGAATACAGAACGATATAATATTCTGAAAGTGAGCTCAGGAGTATGAGCCAACAGAAACTATCCTTCGACTGACCGCTATATCACAAGAATAAAAGGTGATCTCGAAAATACGAAACTATTTTCGTTTGGACTTAATAAGAAGCACAATACTAGCAAATCGTTAGATGGACCGTGACATCTGTTTGACTTGAGCTTTTATTCGACTATCTTCAGCTAGAGCATAAGTTGGATTTGTGTGCATCACATCGTCCGGTCTTTTTATTCGGGGTTGTGTCTACGCATATAAGTGGAACCTTAAAGGCAACGAGGCTGTTCCACACAAGGCAGAGGTTAATAGTTCGGTTCATCATCATCTACAGGGTAGGACTGTCAAGTAGATAGGAGGGGACAAGGGTGATGACCACCCTAGCAGCGGGTCACCTAACTGCTGTCAGACTTGTGGAATGCACTGCATTATCCAGTTTATCGCAAACAACTTACAGATAAAGAATTAGCAAATATATTTACACTGAGTAGCCAAGCGATCTGAAACACAAACACGTCACCGTTAACAAGGAATGTCAAGATTTCTGTCGAAAGAAAAAGTGTGATTCTGTCAGATATTGCTTGAAATGAACGGCCCATGGGAGAGAAAATGAATACAATAGCTATTCGTCACAAACATTTGTAGTCACTGGCAATTCACTCTAGATAATTTGTCGCATTGAAGCAGCGGTAGCTGGATGGTGTGAACCGTCAGACAAATGGATTGTAACAAGGTGATGGAGGATTCAATTCAATTTTATGGAGGGAATTCGTCGTGTGTAGAATAAATGAAGCACGAACTGAAAAGCTAGGAAGCACAGTATAACTGTTTCGACTTAGTTGGATATCATCAGCAGTGTGAATCCATCGACTCGTGACTGGGGATCGAACCCGGGATTTTACACGTAGAACGGTCCGATCAGCTGCAAGACGGTCGGACGAGTAGCATGCTTGCGTTTTGTCTGTGAGGTCCCGGATTCGATCCTTAGTTGGGTCGATGGATTTGCATCACTGACGAGACCCAACCAGGTCGAAACAGTTGTACAGTGCTTCCTAGCTTTTCCTTTCACGCTTCATTTGCTGTATACACGACTTTTCCTTTGAAATGGATTGTAGTTTGAATTAAAACGCCGCCACCCTATTAGGTTCTCCCAATTATTAAATTGCCTAGGGTGGTGGTCGAGTGGTTAAGGTTATCGAAACAGCGACCTTGACGCATTGAATTCAAACTCTGCCACCGCCGACTATCTTTTTTGTTCGCTTAGTTCCTCAGGCAACGTTCGCATGGTCGCGGTCTCTTTCCCGAATGTTAACTTTACATTTGCATACACAATAAATAAAAAGGAAGTGAAACCTTTATTTATTTATGAGTTGTTGCATGGTCTGTGCTGTTTTCTAAAAGTCAACTGAACGTGAATACATCAAATAAGGCGAAACAAGCGTGCATTAAATCGAAGTGAACAAAACAGAAACGCTTAACTGTAGTGACACATTAGCATATTTGATTAATTCATCGTTTGGCAAAAAAATAAAAAAAAGCTGAAGACCATATAAGATAAGCAAACACCTACACAGGGAACGTCCATCGGACTGGGGATCGGACGGTGCATCCGGACCGCGATTCGGCTCCAAGGCATCCTGAACAGAGTCTGTATAACCGGTTGATGAATGTTTTTCTATCCCGTTTGTGCCTGACGCGGTAACCGTGGAACTGACAGAAACCTGATTTGTCGTCGATCGCAAGCACCACAGACACGCATACACTCGAGTAGAATGACGATCAAAATAATGCTGACAGAGATTGGTCAGTGAATGGAACGCCTTGCCTTGGTCGTGGCATCGGGCACACAAATAGACTTGAAGTACGTTGTAATGAAAACATATAAATCGCAGATGAATCCGCATGCATAGTTCAGCAGAATCTGGATTCAAATGAGCCGGAGGCTGAAATCAATCCCAAACAGGAGAGGGAGGGGAAATAAGATTGTAAGGTAGGAAATATATTGAAATGCATTTTATTCACTGTTTAAGTCACTTGGATAAACTTCACAAAAATCGTGATCATTAAAATCCTGGGTCAGATACAGTGAGTATCAGTTATGATATTTCACACCAGTACAGACTGTGTACCAACCAAACCACAGTATGACAATATTTACACAATGGGAGAAAAAACAGACATTTTGTGCGTCAACGGAGTAAAAGGAGGAACTTATTGCCGTCGAACAACCCCGTCCACAGCGCTCGTGCCTTCGATTTTGAGATGTCAGAAAAAGATTCAAATCGCAGAATCTTGAATTTAAGCATCCTTTAGAATAAAGACTAGTTATTTGATGTGAGGGTCGTTTGCACTGCAGTAAGGACTTTTGCCTTGATTTAACCACACATTCCACTGGCAGTTTGCGTGTTGTCATAGTTTTCTGCAAAATTTTATTTTTGACACAAATGCTACTTGCTTAGCCTATGTACATTTTACAGAAGGCTCGATTGACATTTGCAAACCTGAAACATCTGTGGCGCCGTCGCGACATCCGGCTATTTGTGAAGGGTTGAGAATATACCGCAGCAGTTAATCCAATCCTTCTCTACGGGGCAGACTTGATCATTACGGAACAGAGTAAAATTAGATCGTCGGTGGTCGAACACCGCTGTCTACGTCGCATTGCACGAGTCTGGTGGGAAAACCGGACAAGCAATGCTGAATTTAGGCGCAGTTTTAGGTAACTGTGGTCTACCTCCTTAGATTACGCTGGTTGGGGCATGTATTGTGCATGTCACCAAATAGGTTACCACGGCGCGATATTTGCTGAGGCAGGAAGTGTTTGATGAAGGTCAAGTGCGGTTAAACGAAGAACTGGCACGAGAGCCCTAACTAGGACACATAGGTCACATAGGTACCGTTAGGCTCCTGGGATGTGGACCCCGAGATCATGGCAACCAATGGTTAAAGACGCTGAATGATATGGCTGAGTGTCGCGAACAGTGGCGCTCGTGCATCTACTCTTTATTATCAAAACTCCAGTCTAGATGAATTCTCTATTTTCACGTTGACTCTGCTTCCAAAGTCCGAACTCCATTCTGCATTTTCATCCAAACAGGCAGCCAAAAGACTGCAACTAAAACGAATGAATGGAAATGCATGGTTAACGGTTGTCAAAACTGAAACAGAATATACACCATAAACACGGTGACTCTAGTGCTGAGACTCATTGGACGCGAAAGTTGAGCTTTCAAAGCATACTGTGTAACTGTTCCTTGCCGTTTCCCTTTAAAACACGAGTATGTACAATGAACAAAGAAAGGTTGCAAATGCTAGTTTAAGTAAAAAATATTTTCAGTGTCATTAGGATAAATTAATGTTGTGTTAAGGAAAATGTTAAAATAAAACTAACCAAAAGCTATGGGTAACGTCCTAGACACATAGGGCAATGCAAGATTAGCAGAAAGTTAAAATTTTGTGAACAGTGCGAATGAAATTCTCACGCGTTATGAATCGGATTTGTGCGAAAAACCTTTGAAGGGTGAGTTGTACCCAAGGACGACACTTCAAAGCATAAAAAAAAGCAAATTACACATGCTTACACCTCTCATTCCTTGGTGATTACTCCAATCTCCACTACAGAACTTACGTATCCGAAATCGATTAGGATTAGACAGTCTCCAGAAGAATGCATCAATGTTCGCTTTCACTGGAGAACAATGCGGCTTCTTTCACGAAATGTTGCGATCAAGGAAATACAACTGGCATTCAGGAAACTGTGAATTAGTGATAGATTCCAATAAGTAGTTTGGAAGTTGAAACTCGTTTCTAAAACCAAAAGAAGGTTAATTCGCTTTAACCAGTGGCGCAGTGGTTTATTCGCGGTCACCGGTGTGCTTTGGAACCCATGGTTCGGAGTTTGAGCCCCGCCACGGCACCTGACTTTGGTGGTAGACAGCTTTGCTGTCGTCCGGTTCAATACCACGCCTAGTCAACCTGGACCCTATGTGGTTCGTTTAGGGGCTATGGTTACCGGTTTCCATCAACGAACAGGTCTTCGTGACTATGGGATTTACCCCATCTGCTGTTCATTGCACAAAGGTGTATAACAGAAAAAAAGGAAAACATTTTACTTTTTGCTGTGTGGATTACCACTTGGATCCAACAGTCACGTTTTATTCCAATTACACCTGTCTAACTTGCCTTTTTCATTAATTGTACTCCGGTCAAGGAAACTGATTGCACAATTGTCTAAAGAAGAAATAAAATTGAAGTTCGGTCGACGGATTGGCACAGCTGATGAAACCCGACTAGATCAAAATAGCTTTTCACTGCTTCCTAATTTTTCAACTGACGTCTCATTTAAACGAGGAATTCATCATAAAATCAAGTGAATTCCTCCATTAGTGTCATGCAATAAAATGTGAACGTCGTAAGCACATGGTTTAGCGCCAAGCTTCGACAGGTTCTCCTTTTGTACATGACTGAAAAGAGGCTTAGGTTGCACGTCTTGATCAGAGCTGCTCAAAGCATTGTGTAAGCAGTCTGGGTTGAACCGATACGGTGTAGAAAAGACCCTATACACAGAATAGCTCGAAGCCGTTTGTTGTGACATCTTGGGAAAGTACTAGTTAGATATTCCATTTCGCCTGTTCGCTGAGCTTGGCAATTTGTTTGCAAACGTTTCATCACCAGCCGAGGTGACATCATCAGTGCNGCACTGATGATGTCACCTCGGCTGGTGATGAAACGTTTGCAAACAAATTGCCAAGCTCAGCGAACAGGCGAAATGGAATCCAGTTCACCCGAGCTACGAGAACCGATTTTTAATATTTTGTCAACTGGTTAGATACATTATTGCAACAAATGAAAACAAAAACCATTTGAACAAGTCCGGTGTGTGAAAGTGTTAAGAGTAAACTCGCAATAAAGTTACCGATATATTCAGAAATGGGCCAAAAGCAGACGTCTAGACGTTATTTGAGATGCATCTACACTCAGAGATTTGCGTCAGATGCCACTTCTCAATAATGGATTAAAAACGACAGCAAAGACGCCTTTGCGCGCAAACCATCTATTACGTCTATTAAATCGGTAATCGAACACATCGATACACCAATGCACACTATGTATATGCGGTTAAGAAACGACAGTTACATCTCTTCTCATCGTCACTTCGGTATGATCTAAATGTAACTCAGTCCTCAGCTTCAAAGAGAATCCTCATCGGCACTGAAGCGCGTACATTTAAATTCCAGAAGATGAAAACAAAAACGCATTAGTGTTCAAACAAAAAAACAGGACAACGAGCAAGTTCGTCTTCACTACTTCACTGACTTGTAGGATGTAACACTCATAGATTTTAAGACGTTCCATATGTTCACTATGTGAATGTGCAATGAGTGAATCTCGCTTACCGTGAACCCGCACTGCGGGCACATCAGATAACAGTCCAAATGCAATAGTAAATGCGCCTTAACTGCGCACAAATTTGGGTGACGAATGCAAACTGCTTGTCCGCACAAAGCGCATTTGGTCAGTGTGAACGGCTGTGCTCCAGAAAGGTGGTGTTGCATTTCTTTCGCAGTGTGAGCACGAAAATTACAAATCAGACACCGGATGAGACCAGACGCGGCGATGTTGGTAAGGGTGGAGAATCCGGTTGTAGTTGAGTGGGATTGACCCTCGATGACTGTTGACGCCTCTGTACAAGTTGACTTGGACTTGGCCAGATTTGTGCACTGATCAAGAGAGCACAACGATTCGCTTAACTCCACTGGAGAAGGGGCGGATGCTGTAAGATAGGATAAATAGTCTATGAATGTGAGAATGATGAGGAAAGAGTAGTTTTTGAGATAAACAATAGCCATATCCGGCTTTAATTCAACTCGTAGGCTTCATGGTCAGGGACTAACAAACCTTGTTTCTCACACAACACACATTCTAACCTCGAAGACTGGCTCAGATTCTGAGGGACGACAATAAACCATCACCGATCAACTTCGGTGGTTCGCTGTGCTTCAGCTCCATATCATGCATGTTTTCCTAATTATACGGTTTGCCACTCAAAGTTACCGGTCAAAAGCTACCAGTTCCTATTACCGATTAACGGGCTCTCGTAACTGTAGGGTTCTTTCTGCTGTTTATCATATAATAATTTATCATTGAGGAAAACGAATAAAATCCTGGAAGCAGGTCACCGATAAAAAAAACCATTACACGTAAGTAAGCCGTTATTCATAACAGTTATTTGAAAGCCCAATGGAACCATGTCAAGATCGGTTTATCGCAAAACAACCAGGATAGGTCAGTGCATACATTTTGGAAGTTTAGTACCAACTATATATATGTATATACCGGCTTTCGGACAAGCGTGGTACCAACGCCACAATAATATTAACAATAACAATAACGAGAGGGTCTTGGGATACAGAGTATAGGGAAAAAGACGTAACTGTTAGAATGGAAGATTACGAATAAATAGAGTAACAATTTTTTTGTGTTTCACCATAGACTGTATATACACGTGGTCCTGTTCATACTTCGTTCATCAGAGCCTGACTAATTTGCACTGACGACACGATAAGAAACGAGATAAGCCAGGTGAGGGACACAGTGACAAACGACAATTATAACGAGAAACCGGTTCACAGGTAGGGCAAAGCACACCTTGAAAACGCAGCCGTTGCGTTAGCGGCTAGACTGTCTTCCAGTAAAAAATAATAACGTAACCAATCTATCCCATCAACGTTTGCAGTCGGTTGTCAGCTGGATTTACGAGGAAGTTAAACCCCGATTTAAGAACTGCCAACTCTGTAAGCTAGATTAAATTTAATCTATGAAGTAAAATGTGTGTGGTGACACCTACATAGGTGGAACAGAAAGGCAAATACGTAATCGCGTTTTTGAAAATGTTTCAACGTAAGGCTGTTGTGTTGGGGTCAACACAACTGGTTACTGAAAGGGTCGTGAATACAAAAAAAACGAGCTCTTAAGTTGCCAAACCTTTGTGGATGACGCGATACCTCGTCTATCATTTCTGGTGCTCTGCATAAAAGACACTGACAAGATGCCCAAGATAGATGGAGCGATTTGCAACCAAACGGTGAAAAACCCCTTTGGTTCATCAGCTTGGTATGGCCTTGGTAACCACCATCCACATAGTTATTTTGTACTTTACTGCATGACCCTATATAAGCATTGTATGTCTGTAGTTGAGATGCAGTGAAATCGCCCAGGACTTAAATCGTTGAATGCTTTTAGACTGGCTTCTCTTTATATAATAAAATCAAGGAATCCACATTTCGATAAACCATTTGAGGATCGAAAACACAAATGTATACTGACGTTCAGAGACCGGGCCAATAGTAACATCTGGGTCCGATTCTTGAGGTTCATCCTGTTCGTTATCTTCGCATATTACTATGGGGGCAGAGAAACTGTCCAGTTGTGTTCGAACTTGGCGAGTTTGTTGGCAGAACGCGGAGAGAAACAAATGTGACTTCCACAAATCCACACCGGCGTAGAGCAGGATAGTTTGCGCTAAGGGACTATCCGGATTGGGTAGCGGGAAGGGACAGCTGTCCGGATTGGTTCGAGTTGGAGAGTTCAGACGGAACGACAGTGGAGCTACTGATGAACGATCAGACGAGTCCGGGATCAAAGAAGATCGCCACAAACTATACGGTGAACAATCACCCAGATTGACAGGGAAGCCAAGTGGCCGAGAAGCAACGTCGTCCTGATGCGGGGACGGAGCAAGGAAACTCAAAGGCTGATAGAGTACAGCTTCACTGAAAGCCAAAACAGGATAAGGGGCGGGAGAGAGCAAGTAAAGGATTGTTGTGGGACAAATGATTGAAAATATTTCACAGGGCTCCAAAAAAACGAAATATTTTTTCAAGTAAGGTAGCTTAAATATATCAAGTGTACCATTTCAATTCACCTTCTGTTTTCACTTTTTACAACCATTAACCATGCACTTTCGTGTGCCGGTTTTGGTTGCTGTCTTTTGGAGCCCCATTCGTAATTGCCATTCAGTTCGCAACGCGTGCTAGCACTCAGAACCTGTTCTGGTGACATCTCACAGGGAGAGTGAGAGGATAGAAGAAGAAACACTACTAGTCAGGAAATTCGATTATCCTAATCATTTCGACAAATAAAACATCTGAATGTGTAAACGCCACAGGGATAATCAGAACAGGCGGAACGGGCTTGTGACTGAGGTCTGAGAAATAGCGATTACACTGAGTTAAAACCACAGAAAACAAACTTATCCGTCTACATTAGAACTCACCGAGAAGAACCAATTGTGTATTGTGTATAACTTTTGCAAGCAATTAGAACCAACAGAATTTGTTTCAGAAAGGTGCCAGCCAAACTGAGCTCAATTACTTGCACCAAGCGATATTTTTAACAACTCAAATTGTCACTAAACATGTGGGGTGTAAACAATTTCCTCCCCCTCCACATACGCACACGAAAAAGACGTGCTAAGTGGTACTTATGGAATAAAATGATCTAATCCAGAAAGAGAATGACAAATTAGCAAAACCATGTCTAAAAGGTATTCCCCGTTGATCGTATAGCTCACAGTCAACGACTTTTACTTCAAAACCGAAAATTCGCAGTTCCATCCTATCAGGGACCCGCCAAATAGGCGTTGATAACGAATTCCAACTGGGACGAGGCAGTTGTACAATGAATACTAAATCCTCTGAGAACTAAGATAATAAGTCATTATTTTGTGTTCACTCACTTAAGAGCTCTTTCCAGATCACACCACAACTCGGTCAATTCCATTCCAGGCTGATAGAAGGTGGCTTGATCCTCAGACTCAAATGTGGTAAAGATGTCCGCTCCACCGGCGGTCATTCCATTGGCTTTATCTTTATCCACACCACCTGCGAGAAAAGAAGTCGTGGTCATTGAGTGGCCGCTGGTTTTGACCGTTCCCGCATCCTCGGAAGCTTTAGGGCAAACAAATAATTGAGTTACACCGGACGTTGTTGTACAACGTTCGGTCGCTGGATTTGTAAAGCAAGAAAGCCGATAAGAATGGAAGCATAAGCAATGACGAAATCATTCATAATTACAAGATAACGAGCAGCTACAATTTTAGTGCACTGTCCTGGATTAAGCAATCTGTACTTCAAAACTGGCAATTAAAATATATCAAATTCAAAGGCATGTGTGTGAGATGTTAATTTATGAGCTGAACTGGCACCGCGCGGTAATGGACATGTATATTCAGTTTCAATGCACTGAGCTAAAGCTGTCTCAGTTTATCACCACAATGCTCAAATGGGAAAAGTGCACAAAATATGTATTTATGCTCCATAACCATCCGAACTGAATCAAGTTGTTGCGTGATCACATTGTGGAACAAAATAGCCATGCAGCCAATCGAGAAATGACCCGTTTGTTTACTTACAACCCATCTGACAAGATAGTACAAAACAACCTGATTTCATTAAAAGATGGCAAAATACAGCACCCTACTTCAAATATACACAAGGTATCACACAAAACCAAACGGGCACGCCCATTAATCATGCTCGGAAGCAGTAGCCAAGTGGTGAAGATCACCGTTCCAGCAACCCGGAGGTCCTATCCATCACTGTTACCCATCTTCCCCCTTTACGTATTTCCCCAAGCGGCCATGGATTGATCGCGGCCCCCTTCCCGTTCGCGTGAGTACTCAATAAATAAAAGAAAATAAAAAATATTGTTTTGTTCTCTGACAAGGTTTTTAGTTGAGCTGATTGCCTGTGTAGTGAAGCAGAACAGAAAAATGAAACAGAAAGATCGATTATTCACGAGGATCTTGTGAGAACAAACAAAAACGCATTCCCTTCTAGTCAAACTACTAAGTGCATTGAATGACTGTATTTTATCGAGCTCTCATTGACATGGGTCAAAAATGACTTTGTCAAAAGATTTATTTAGTATGAATATATTCATTTTTTTACATTCGTTTGCTGAAAGATAATAAACTGATTTTTAGATTCAAGTGTTGGATAATCAAACGTGGAAAATAAGGCTATCTTGTGAAGCAAGGCACGTCAATTGAGCAACCTTAGTGAGAAGAATAGTGAGAGTGCTGCACCCAATGATAGCCACGATCTCCGCTTCAGTTTTGAGAACCAAAAATCCTCACCGTAGGACTTGGAGTGGTGAACCACTCAGAACCAATGGGACTGATGTGGTATCGACCAATGGGTATCGGTAAAATGATTCCCTCAACTGACTTACCTGGATCACTCGAGTGAGTTGAAGTGTCGGAGCTAGTCACCGGAGCGATCATGGTGGTCGATTCTTTGGAAGTGTTGATTGTGGTCGTCTCTGAGCTATTCCATTGTCGAGATAGTTGAAATGAGGGTAACGACCACGCTGATTCGGACAGTGGACAGATTGTTAACAGCGAGGGTAACAAAGACCATGAATCCACCTGGTTGGGATGCGTGCATGCCATGTGTGTATAGATGGCACATCGATTCGGTGCTTTGATAATACCTCCGGAGAGGACGGTACAATAAGGGGATTGTGTACACAGGCCGTCTAGATGTTCTTTGATATCAGATGAACTAGCTCCTGGGACTCCATTTTGTCCGGTGGAGTTAGACAATCCATCGGAAGTATGAGTAAACGAGGTGCCCAGGCCGTTGGATGCAGTAGTGGTGGAGACGGGTAGATGAGCTGTTTCGGATCCGCGACACAAATGACAACGATAGAGTATTCTGGCTACCGGACGCCTCATGTGACTGTCATATAGAGCGCGATTAGTGAACGCTTGGTGACAACAGAGACAAATGTGGAAACCCTGAGAATCGCAAAGGGACGAAAAAGGACTGATATGAACGACTTTCAAATTAGCTCAATTTCTGAAACAATATTGCACAGAAGTATTTCGACAACGCATTCTATAGAAGATTGAGTGGATAAAGGAGAAAATATGAGAATAAATGATGATAAAACCACCACACATGAATGCGAGAAGAAAATAAAGTCAGTGTATGCAATAACGTCATGAAAAAACTGCTCCTAATAGCTCAAACTGAGTGAGTTCATTTTCACTTGTTCGTTGATGTAGAAAATCTATTTGCAAACGCTTTATCACGGGATCAACGTGATACGTCCTAGTGATATGCTATGATTTCATGTACGGTCCGACTGAGCGCATACATAAACACACCTCCTGAGCAAAAAGACCTGCTGTGAAATAACAGCAAAGACTTCGATCGATTAGCTGCCTTGTAGCATTTGTGCCTAACGTCATTAGGATACCGGATCCTCGCGACCCGAATGTACAGATCATAACATTTAAAACCAATCACGGTAGCTTTCAATATCTTGGTAATATGCAATCCATCAACCTCTAGGTGGCTTTCTCAAAGGCTCATCGGGA